AATGTCACTTTTTTGTGTTTTAAAAATTTGAGAGGTTGTAGAAGGGACACAGGAGTTGAAAAAGATGTGTGAAAATGATGTAAATATAGCACTCATAAATGGAATTCCTAAAGCAATAAAAATTTAAATTGAAAACTTCACTTTTATAACTGCCTATATTGGAAGATTCTGAGGACATCCCTAATTTTCCATGTTAATTTCTAAAAGGAAAGACTGACCAGAGGATAAAAATATAGATTGTGGCAGGGCGTGGTGGCACACGCCTTTAATCCCAGCACTCGGGAGTCAGAGCCAGGCGGGTCTTTGTGAATTTGAGGCCAGCCTGGTCTACATGGTGAGTTCCAGGACAGCTGGGGCTACAGGGAGACCCTGTCTCAAAAAGACCAAAAAATATATAGATTGTGTATTAAAAAGATGACTTTTTAAAAACTCTATGAAACTGAGACATTCTTGGTTTGTTTGGCATATTCCTTGTGGCTCCAGAATCAGCCATTTTTCTGAGAAGACCCAATTCTTTTGTTGATGAATAATAGTAGATAAAGATCTCAGTCTTAGAAATACATAGATACTTTCAAATCTATGGAATTAGCAAAATAATAGTTTGTTGTCTATGATATAATCACTTAAAAATTCTTCTCCATTTAGTCTTAGGGAAAAAGCCAGCTCCCAACATTGAAAATCTTCTTCTGGGGGTGAGGCCAGAGTGGGTATATCCTCAGATTTCTTCCAAGATATTTTAATTGGAATTTTTCATTAACAATCTTAGCTTATGACCAGAAGAAATGTGGCTCCTCTTTGTCCCTTGAGGCATCTTTGAGGAGCTTTTATATTACAATACTGCTTTGGTTCCCCCAGGAAAGTATTATTTTGATTGCATGTTTGCATGTTGGGGAACTTTTCCTTTACAGGATCCCAGATCTACATAGGCACCAGCTGTTTGCAGATCTCAGACTCTCACACAGCTTGGTATGACTCTATGACTCTATGGGTCTCATCCAAACTGCAACAGCCTCTGAACTGCCTTTTCATTTTATCACATAGCCTCAGGAACTCTTTTACTCTTTGAAATCAGAGGTCCTCGGAGACTAAAGAACTTTTCTTTTTTCCTTTTCAGACTTTAAAAAGTCCAGTGGTTAAAGGCCATTCTGAATTAAGATCTCAGAATTCTCAAAGACATAGGTATGTTTCCCTGACCCTTTATTTTTTTTTAAAAGTAAAGACATATTCTCCAAAATGTGGGTAGAAATAATGGGGTTATCTTGGAGAAAGGGAGTCAGAAAACAGGTACAAAAGACTCATTCTGTTTTCCCTGGAAGTTTGCTACATTTAACATGAATAGAAGCAGAAATTTCTAACAGATATTTTGAGTTACCTTTGCTTAGACAAGACAGCTACGGACTTAGTCAATGCTTGATGAGTGTTGTTACCAACTAGTGTTTATTAAGCCTGGGAAAGAAGTTCATAGCTTGGCCCACAGCTGAATAAAGAGAGATTATTAGTTTGTACCTAACAGTGCTATTGAGTGCACAATGGTTGCATTTTCCCACATTTTACTTCAGTTTATCTTCTTTTAATGGTGGGAAGCTGACTCTTCTATGATTCAAAATCAAATAAGCATGAAAGTTATTCTAGCCAGGCATGGTGACACATGTCTATAGTGCCAGCTACTCATAAGGCTGAAGTAGTAGGAACATTTGACCATCCTGAGCAGCAAGAAAGTATACCATTCTAACTTAGTTGTGGTGTTGCAATTCATCCATTCACTTAACAAGCCTTAGAGCCTCCACTCTGTGGCTGCCAGTAGTCTAGACAATAAATAATAACAGCCTAAATAATGTATGCTTCTATAAGAACTCCCCAAATGAAGTGTGATGACCGAGAGGGATTCTTCACACCCCTTTGAAACATTTTTTTACTTTGAGGAATACATTCGAATGGAATATGCAAGGAAATCGATTGCATAAACATTTGAGCAGCTGTTTTGGAAAAGAATTCAGAATTAATCCTAAATCAGCTACATTTCATTCTTGGAATTTCCCCAGTTTTTGTCTTATCTATTGTTGGGAAAAAGGGTTTGGTTTATGATGTGGGGTGGTTTATATTCCCTCATCAAGGAGCTATAGTAGTTAGCAAGCTACTCTTCTTTCTTGGACTCCCTCCACCAATACGCAGCAGCATTTGGATAGAGCATTCGACTCTGAATCTGTTACTTCATTTCACAATGTCGCAGTTTCTTCATGTCCATGTGATCTATATCATCTTATTCATCAACCATGCAATTATTTAATGAAGATGCTTTCAAT